GGGGGGGCTCGTTAAAAATAAATACAGAGCAGCCGAAAAAAACTAAGTGGAATGCAACACTTTTTCACATCCAGTACATTAGGCTTCGCCACCCGCATTGCATTCTGGGAGGGGGCAGCCATTTTTGGCCCGCGGTCTCCATAGTGAACATCAACAAGGCCGTGTCGTCGCACTTAGTGACAGACGGCTCGTGAAGATGCAAGAAAGACAAGGGGATTCACAGGGAACCGCTACACCTCGACGCCCCGCCGACACAATCCCCAGTGAGATCTCGAACCGTGGCCGCCGGTGGAACCCCGGCAGGCTTTCTTCTCCTTCGGTGCTTTTAAAACACCCTGGTTGCAACCTCCCCCTGCTAGATTCGCTGCCCCTTTATTACATCCGCCAAGGCTTATTTTACTTGTCTCTTGTTTTGTGTGCACTTACATTCAGCGTTTGTTTTTTTTTTTTTTGTTTTTTTGAGGAGGTTGAATTGAGAAACAAATATGAGATATTTTTCTCATTACACTGAGCCAATGATGTTTCTGCTGCGCAAGAAAAAGCACGACTGAGGGTGTGAACTGAAAATGGTTAACGTTCAGGGTGTTGTGTGTCTGTGTGTGTGTTTTCTCAGTGGTTCACAGAGGACTCAAACGAGCTGTGGATGCGCCACTGTCAGCGTGACTTCAAGCGGGAGACGCCCCAGGAGTACGAGTCCTGGCGTGAGATGTACCTGCGGCTGCATGACGAGCGGGAGGTGCGCCTGCGCAGGCTCACGCAAAATATCAGCATGGCGCATGCCAACAAGCCCAAAGGTGATTTCACTGGTTGTAATACAACCTTTTTCTCTCCCCAATCTTCACTGTCGCCACAGTTGGGATACTATTTGAAAGTAACTAAATTAGATTACAAGTTACTGTATGAATGGCATTCAACAGATGCCGACAACAATGCGTAACAAAACTGACAGCTAGTTTTGCCAAGACTTAATTTCAAGTATAAGAGCAAAGTTTCTTTTTCTTCAAAAATCAAATGAAGACAATTTTTTTTGGACTCTACATTAGGACTTTTATTTAAAAAATCAATTTGTGGATTTCACAAACGGGCTTCTTGTTTTAATTTTTTTTTTTTTTTTTTTTAAAGCATAGCACGCTACTTTCACGCGTTGCCGGCCTCAATGTTACGTTTTAGAGTGTCGGAATCTTGAGTGTGGTCTCCCTTTGTCTGGCAGAGCGGCAAGTCAAAATGGCGTATGTCAACTCCGTGGCCAAGCCGCCTCGAGATGTCCGCCGCCGGCAAGAAAAATTTGGGACCATCAACGGTTCCACGGCGGCCTCCACTGCCGCTGCCACACCCATCAAGTCAGTCACCAGAAAAAAAATCTGAAATCTTGTCATATCTGGGATTTTTTTTTTTTTGGGAGGGGGGTGGGGGGGATTAATATCATATTGGTCCAAATCATTTTATAATATGTTGGGCCTTCTCTGCCTCTTCTTCTCGCTCTTAGTCACATTGCATCCCTTTCAGTAGAGCTCGATACTGCCGGGCATGTTGTGGCACAATGTGGTATTGCACTAAAGGCATGCAACTCTCAATTATGACTTGCTTGTGTGTTGTTAAAATGCGATCGCTTAAAAATCTGTGTTGACATCAGAGCTGCCTCCAACTTCTTCCAGAATAAGACCGGCCATCATCGACTACTCCGGTGAGTCCAGTCAGTCGTCTTCCTCCTCGTCTCTCGTCAGCCCTTCTCCCGGATCGTCACGATCCTTGGCATCAAACGCGGGAGCCTTAGGAGGACCACATGCCTCTCGGGAAAAGCCGCAAGGCAAAAGTAAGCTATGAATTGTTCAAATGTTGCTTGTTGAGTCATTTGAATGTCTCATTGTCTTTTTTTTTTCTTCACCTTCAGAAATCGCCCCCATGATGGCCAAAACTATCAAAGCTTTCAAGAACAGATTCTCCCGCCGATAATTGCTTTTAATTGAAACCTTTTATCCAAGGCAGTGTCTTAAAAACACATTTCCGACTAAACATGACCGTTGTGGGGTTGGTAGGGGAAAAGGACAGAACTTTTATTTAATTTGGGCTGTTTTTTTTTTTTTTTAAATAGATATTTAAATGATGGCTGTGTCAGTGTGGAAACAAAAAGGTTATTTTAGGAAGCAATGCACAAAATTACACCAGACATGACATGCGGGGGGAAAAAATATTTATCTGTCACCACAACGAACATTCAAAATAGTATTTGTGGCCACGAAATAAGAAATTTTTGAAGCAAATACTAATTTGTGGCTACCAATTACATATAAGCGTGTGGACAAATGATTTATTAAAATGACTATTCTTGGACAATTGGGCGAGCAAATGCATTGAACCCTCGCTCGGAATTGTACAAGGTACGCTCCATTTGTTCACCCAGACGTCCAATTTGTTCATAGGACTGAGGTTCAACCTACAAATTAGTATTTCATGCAAACGTTATGTTGTGCCCACAATTGAATATTTTTTTTTCCCCTTGTCACGTCTGGAGCTCTGTACACACCAACATTGTTTTGAAAAAAAGATGGAAGAAATGGGTCATTTGTTTTTTTTTGTAGTCATGTACGCCTTTGGATGAAAACATGATGAGTTGTGTCTTTTAAAGTGAGTGCATGTCGCAAAGCATTCACAGACTGCTCTGTTTGACTTTCTTGATGAGGACTCAAAAGGATCAATTAGCTCCTCTCGTTAAAGTCTTCTTTCCTGCTGTCCACTGTATGTGCGTCCTCCCGTGTGTAAATATCCACTTTATCTGCTTCACTGTGACAAACCAGAAGATGAGGAAAACACCCACCATGAACTTGTTTTACGAGATGTATTTATGACACTATTAATGACGTTAACCAGATGCCCCCTGCTTGTCTTTGGCACACAAAAAGGAAGTAGATGGAAAACCTGTAATTTTATTAGATTTTAATAAATGTTATATGGTCTTTTTTTTTTTTTTTTTTTTTAATTTGACTTTTTGCCCAAACTGTGCTTCTGTTGTCATTCATATATATATATATATATATATATATAATATGAAATCTGATGTGAACCATACCCCACACATGAGAGCTCTTAGAAGACCTGCAAACACAGCCAGTTTTCTTAGCCGGCTGGATTGATAGTTCGTGAAATTGGTGTCCGTAGGCACTTTGTGTTCTCTGACTGTACAGAAGGTGGCCGTGTTGCTATAAAAACACTGTTGAGATAAAATAGCCTGTGAAGAAAATACAGTGTTTGGCAACACTCTGGTCTTGTTCTTTTGCCTCCCGACCCCAAATACTAATGATGTTAGGGAAGATTAAAGGGACAGACGAAAACATCTTTGCTTAATCAGTCCTTTCAAAAAAAAAATTCCATCCATCTCAGCGGCATCGGGATAGACAATACATTTGAATATGTAGATAATGGTTATAATAATTGTGATTTACTTTATTGTATAATTTATCCAATCTACATTAAGTAAACTACAAATAAGTTTTTTTTTCAATCGTTCTAGTTAAAAATATAACAATGCAATAAAAATAAAATACAATTAGTTCGTGTTATTAAATAATAAAATACATTATAAATAAGGGATATTGTATTAATAAATAACTATTTATTTAACCTAGATATACCAATGGATGAGTGAATAATAATAAGTTTGGTCCGCCGCTGATTTAAAGGACTGAAGAATCACTGAAAGCAAATCATGAGCTTTAGTTTGAAACTATTAACCCGGAAGTAAACGTCAACCTCGCGTTGTTTTGAAGTTGGCATGGCCAGCACCTGAAATTGGAACTTGTTTGCAGTCTGGAGGATTCCTACGCATCCGCGTCTCCCGAGCTCCCTAACTTTCTGGCTCTTCAGCGGACGCTTAGGAAGCGAAGGCTCCGCGTCTGTTGCCTCCATGTCCGGCCACCACCACCACCACGACCACGGCTGCGGCTGCGAGGGCGCCCATGAACCCGCCGAGAGGGGGGTCGAATACGGACTATATCGCCGCATCGACACCGACAAGCTGCAGTGCCTGAACGAGAGCAGAGACGGCGACGGCAAACTAGTGTTCAAGCCGTGGGACCAGCGGAATGATCGCGACAAGGTAAACGCCATCGCCTCCTTGAGCAAGACTTCTTACTTCGGTAACAGGGAAGTCAATTACTGTATTTTAAATATGTCCTGTAAGTAATCCAAACAGCATCAGTCAGCAAAAGAACCATGCATTAGTAGGTAGATAATATTTTATTTGCAGTGGTGCAAGTCATCTTTGCTCACAGAAATGTATGGAAATGCCATGAACTCCTAAAAGCCCCACCAAAAACACCATAATGTTTTTTTTAAATATGAAAAATAGCACTCATATGGTAAGAACATAAATCAAATGTCGAGCTGCAGTGATGAATCGAAAACTAATTGATTTTCAAATTCGTCGATAAATATTTTGGTAATCTTTTTGGGGACTTTGTTTAATTTAAAATTGTCTATGTCCTTGCAATTGCAATCACTTAACAGTAAATCATTCTGTAGTTTCTGTGGTCTTTCATTAAAACATTTACGAACATCTGTTTTTATTTGGCAAAACAATTATCAACGTTTTTGTCTTTTTTCTGACATGTTCGGGACCAAACTGAATCATAATTCCTTTGTTTGTGCGTTTTCTGAACCGTCAATTTAGAATAATGCCCTATTTCGGAATGAAATTGAATTGAATTGAATTGAAATTGATTTTATACTTCAAATCACATTGACAGTGTCCCTTCTGGTGTAACCGCTTTGGCCACCAGAGGGCGGTATTATACAGACAAGTAAGGGACTCGATAAACTGCAGTAATATTAGTACAGTAGTTTCTTGCACAGGATAAGAATATACAGTATTCTTGTATTGTTATTTACTGTCTTTGTGTTGGTGTGTATTGTATGTTATATCTGTTGCTTAAAGGTTAATTAGTGCCACGAAAATTGATGCAGTTTAGACTTTTCTATAATGTGGGTTTTTTTTCTCCCCCATCCAGTTTGTCGAGAGTGACGCCGACGAAGAGCTCTTGTTCAATATCCCGTAAGTGCTCCACAGTTTTCCTGTTTTGATGATCGGTCACCACACACCGGAGAGCACGCATCCAATTCCATCACTTTGCAAGCATCACAGATTTGCGCTACTGCTATCGCCGCGTCCCGTTTTGTTTTGCTTTTCATTTCTTTCTGTTCTCAGGTTTACCGGCAGCGTCAAGCTGAAAGGGATCATCATCTCCGGAGAGGATGACGACTCGCATCCGGCAGAGATACGATTGTGTGTGTCAATGTGAATCACGTGCAGTCAAACGTTTTAGTGTTTTGCAATACTTTGTCTTTTTGTGATTGTTAGACTTTTCTAGCACAGAGCAAAAAAAAAAAAAAAAGCATGAACTGATGCATTTCGCAGATTGCTGAAAATCCTGTGTAATATCTTGAGATTCATAATGCAGAGACATTCCTCCCAGGTACAAAAACATCCCTCAGATGTCCTTTGATGACACTGGCAAAGAACCAGAGCAAGCTTTCAGACTCAACAGAGACCCCAACGCTCAGCTGGAGTACCCCACCAAGTGAATTTCCTTCAATGAACAGCGTGGCTTGAGTTTCTGTCACAAGCTCCGTCTGCGGCTGAGTGTCCCGTTTTTCATCCTTTGACTTGCAGGATCGCCCGTTTTTCAAACGTCCAGCACCTCTCCATCCACATCTCGAAGAACTTTGGTGCCGAGAGCACCCGGATCTACTACATCGGCCTTAGGGGAGAATACTCGGAGGTCAGAATTGGTCAAAACAGAAGCATTGATTAATCCATTTAAAACTGCCAAATCGCCAAAAGAAAGTTCCCAACTAGCTTAAAGCTAATGCTAATGAGCATCAATCTTGTGGTGCTTTAATGCTTTTATCTGATTGTATTGTTTTGCTGATTCAATATCACGTTTACAAAAAAAAAAATCGAGAATAGAGTGCCGCTGACTATTGTTTCTGTTCTGTGAAGGCTCACCGACACGAAGTGACAATCTGCAACTACGAGGCGGCGGCGAACCCCGCCGATCACAAGGTGGAGAGCATTGTCCCTCAAACCAACTTTATTTCCTGAAGCCTCACTCTGAAGGAGGAAAAAGAGCCTGTCATTGATGCGGATCAAACCAAGGCAATGACGCATTTGTGGCCGCGTCCTGTTGGCAAGCTCGCCAAGCGTGACGCGGATGCCGAGCGCTCAAGTCTGACGAGCTTTCCAAAACGCGCTGGGGCGTCACGGGTTTGCACTGGAGTTCGAATTCACAAAAGTTTGTAATGTGCTTCAAATAAAATCTTGAGATTTGACAATCTTGTGAGGAGTCGTTGTCTTACTTTCCCAATAAAGGTGCTTGAAAAGTTACTATTCTGGGTTCTAACACTGAGCATTAGAATTGTTGAGCGACTTTTCTGACACTTCGCAGATCGTTTTCATTTCATTAACAATTGTATTCACATAAATTTTGATAAAAGAGAATTTTTGTCATTGAAGATTGTTTTATAAACTGTGTGGGGGGGAAATATTTAATAATGCCTTCTAAGGCCTTCAAGGACACTAAGACAATAAAAACTTAATATAAAAATCAGTTTCTTGTCATTTAATTTTCTTGTTCGCATGATGTATTACATCAGTCAAATTTTTACAATCATAAATGCAAATAAACTTTTCTATGATTTATTTTTTCACTGATTCCAAAGCTGCCCTCATTTTTTTCTCAACCAGATTAGATTTGAATATTCATGGTAAAACAATATATGTAATGTAGTAATTTAGTTTGTAAAATTCTGAATAAACACGTTTTTTTTCTGAAACGTCATAGCTATAAATTACAACGTATGGTATCTGTATGGCGCAAGATATTATAGGTAAAACTTAAAACAAAAAAAACATATCTTCAAAGCCTGATACGCTGCGAAAAAAGTAAAGATATGTTTTAAATTGGCGTCAAAAATATGATACCAATTTGCTGTTGCTATTTTTTAATATCATGATCAGTTATGGGCGTGGTTATTTCTGACGTCACAGCCTTTGGTTTGTGCGGACGCCAACCGGAAGTTGCGCTCAGGAGTGAACTAGGACAACAGCGAGCGGTGAGTGGAATAATTTATGTCAGCTACTAGCGGGCCGCGGTTTCACCGCCTTCTCCCCTCTGTCCACTCTCCTCCGCGTTTTACTCGCGGACATATCCTCTTTAAAACCCTTTCGGAACCTTCTTTGGATCCCTCCTGAAGTTCCCCCTCGGTGCAGGGTGGCCATTTTGTGACGTTAGAGCTCCCCATCGTCGCGGACGGACACACGGATTGAGACGCCGGTAGCAGACAATTACACTCATTGTGATAGCACATGCTAACAATCTGTGTGTGTGTGTGTGCGTGTGTGTAAAGGGGAGGGGGATTAACCGGGATTTAATCCGTGTCAAAAGGATGGTGGAACAGTCGCCTTGAGACTTTTATTGTACCGCCGAATGCCATCACTAGGGATGAAAGAAGAATCTATTTCATTGTCCTCCTCCGCCGCCCCGCTTCCGCCTCCGCGCCAGTCGTCACATTTGCCGGTCAGGTCAGGTTGTTGGAGCTCCATCTAAGCGGGCTGCCCACGGGATGGTTACCCGGAATAGTGAGCTCGTTTTTGGTGGTTCTTGGTCGGAGAGTGTGTGAGTGTGGGAAGGTAGGATCGGGAAGAGGGGGGGCGGGGGGGGGGCTGTCACTCACTGCCGCATTTGATCGTTCGGTTTTTGGCAGGCATCTGAACCCTGTGCCTTTGTGTGAGTGTGTCGTTTTCTTTATGTTTTAATGTGGCGTCCCACCAGTCGTACAGTAATCTACTCCCGATCAAAATTCTAATCCAAAATTGCATGAATTGGCATTTTGCACTGTTGCCGTGTATGCGTGCTTTATTGTCTGTTGTTGTTTAGAAGCCCACCTGCACAGTTATGGGCATTTGTGTCATTTTGGTTGAAAACTTGCTATGATACATTC